CGCATTGCGGACATTGTCTTAACAAGTTTGAGTTTGTTCTACATTGTTTTCAAAGAGTGAATAAATCTGGACGAGATAAACAACAAGTATAAACCTGCTAAACACACAATTAGGCTTGTTTAGACAATGTGTGCATGCGGCCTCGCGTCTCCTAGCCATATAATGAATGATACTTTCCAGCGCGAAATCGATGAATGGAAAATAAAAATGGAAATTGCGGCACTCCCGTCGTGTACAACAGTACCTCGCGCGGACAAGGAAAGAGTCGTACAGCATGTTCACAAAGAAACACGAAGTTAGTCATCGACTGGAGATTCGGCAACTAGTCCTTTTCTAATCACCAGCAATTGTTTCCACTATAGCGTTCATTTTTTTCGATCGACACAAATTGCTTTGGTTGGCAGCTCTGCTACTGTGCCCGATAAAATCTAATCACCGAGTGTATTTCGATAATGCTTTTCAGCCAACGAAGCACAGCTTTACTTCAAAAATTTCACCACACTGAGGTGGCATTCTCTTACCTTCAGCAAGCTAATTGATAATGAACCAGAAATCAATCAACGCTCTCTTCCTGTCCCAACTTACAAGGTGTCCGAATCTTGTAGCCTGATATTTTTTCTGATAAAAGAAGAAAGAGATATGGAATCACAGAATTTTGCACTATTCAACCCATAACAGGTACAATGCAGCATTTAGAGTTGTAGCTTCCTTTGTCTTGAAGGCCCTGCGGAGTTTGGTGAATGCAGCCGTCGTGGCTCACAGGTAAACTTCGGTAAGTTCGTCCCACGCTTTCTGAAGGGTACGCTTCAAACTATCCAAATCCTTATGAAGTGCAGCGCAAGCCTTGCTCTCAGGGACTACCAATATAGGAAAGCCAAGCGGCTCAAGTCGGGCGAACTTGGAGGTCAGCCTGAGAAAGTGATCAAACCGGGGAAGTTGCTCCTGAACCATTGTTGGAACTTTCCATGTGGGCCAGCGTTGAGTCTTGCTGGAACGTCCATTGGCGATCATTAGAGTGCTTGTGGCTCCGAGGAAACTTCCTTTGCGAGAATGTCATTCAAATACCTTTCAGCATTAATTTTCACTCCTTGATCGACACAAATCGGTGTCTTGCCGGTTGGTGTTATCCCGGCCAAACCATGAGCTGAGCAGAGGGTCCGTTTCTGGATACGTAGCGGTCGACCTCATTCGCTCTCCTAACCGATCGAGCAAGTTTCTGTCGTTTTAATGGTTCTCGGCCTGTGGAATCGTGGAAAGTTTCTCATCTAATATAGCAAAAATCGTAACGCCAACTCAAAAAAACATTCGACGGCGGGAAACCGCGGTGCGGTCCCGAAGCGCACGGATGCAACTCCAGCACCTTTCATTACTGGTTCACTAGTCAGTAAACAAGATAAACAAGATGTGGTTGACGCGCGCCTCTGAAAATCGCTATAGAAGTTCGCGGCATTTACGGATCCTAGAAGCCTTCATCGTTTTTGTCAGAGTATGTGTCTTCTGCATCTTGATGCATGAAGCCCGAAGCGGTCTTTGACTATCCTCGAAACCGAGCTCTTTCCCATACTCAACTCTTGAGCCAACTTTCTGAGACTCCTCTTCGGATTGCGACGTATCATATCTCTGATCTTTTTGATAATCCGTCACTTCTTCTACGGTCCTTGACATCGCCAGTCCCCCGAAAGCGACGGATTGTGTACTGGATGATTCTACGTGAGATTCCAGTAATTTCTCCAGTCTCTTTCTGAGTCATACCTGACTGGCTCAAACGCAAAACAGTAGCTCTATCAACTTTGGACAACATACTTCGAAAGCTAACCAATAAATTTTTTTTAGATGGGGAGAACGTTGAGAACACTCCGGGGAGTACGTGCAGGAAGCCAGACAAAAAAAATTAAAAAAAAAACATTACGTTACTGCGAATTTAGGCTACAGGACTTCTGGGACACACTGTAGCTATAACAATGAAAATCTATGTTGCGACAAAAATTTGTACCTAAAATCTGTACCTGACAAAGCACGTCCAACATAGACTCGTTTATTATCCATGGCGTAGAACCTAGTTGGTTGAGGGCATCGAATACAGGACGAGCTTGAACGCTGAATTCTCAGTTCATCAACAGCTGAATGACGAATGTGCTTTACTCGGATTTTATTCTCTTTTGTTGACTTTCCGAGAAACAAAGGTGTTTATCACGCAATATGAGCTAAAATTCTCTCTGGCCGAAATTCTTCGCAAAATCTGTATCGACAGAAACGATAGCAAACACAGTGCTCGCGACTTTCAAATTTGACTGTAAGGATCAAAGAAGTAAGCATCATATGTAGTGTGTTTGCTGATGCTACATCTTACAGTGCATAATTTATCCAAGTAAAATCTGAAGAAATGGCAGCTTGAATTCTGTAACAATAAGCTTTCTGAACTCACGGAGATTTTAGTCTTCTTTGCATCTGCGAATTTATGTCTATGTGTTTGTACTCGGCAAGGTTTCTCAAGACTGTAGTAGATCGGGTGTACTCTGGGCCGCCTAGCCCTCCATCACACCATGGTCGAGGAGGAACCTGAAGATAAACAGCTGACAAAGTGTTTTCTGCATATAGCGTAGCCAATGGCATAGAGGCTTGACCCGGCTCCGGAGTCTGAAAATCGGTTCAAAATTGGCGCTATTGTTTATGTTCATTATGC